AGAGTGAAAGGGGAGCAACAAAGGTTTAGGAGAGGGGTGTACACAAGTCGAGCCTAATTCGAGTCACATCTAACTTATGCTTGGGCTTAATTAATTAATTGAATTCAGGCTCCAACTTTTTCTTAGATCTACGAGTTCGAGTCGGCTCACAAGCTGACGACTCATTTATTATTAAAAAGAGAAAATGATTATGATTCAAATAACTATTATAATAAGATTATTAAGAAAAATAAATTAGAAGATATATAATAAAAACCACTTGATGAAAAAGTGATATAATTTTTAATAGCTCTATACTGAATTCTAATATATTTTAAGTTATTTTATATTAATAATTTTTAAACGAGCAAGTCCACAAGCTAATGAGTTTGATTCTAGGCTTGCTCAGATTTGGTTCGTTAGCTCATTGAACAGAGCTCACAAGCCATTTATTGAGCTGAGCTCAAGACGGCTCAGTGTACGTAGAAAGCAACAGTAAAAATTATATTTCTACCACTTTCAAAAGATATGAGTATACAAACAAAAACATAACAAATAATTCCACATATTTTCCAAATTAATTTGAGCAAAGCATTGATGAAAAAACACCATGATAATACCATGTGAGCACTTTAGTATGATATAAATTATGTAATAGCAGTTATCATTGAAACAGGTAGAGATTCCACTAAGTAGAAAATTGCAAAGCAAAAGCAAAAAGACAATGAGTTCTATTATTATTTGCTTAGAAAAAAAAAATAATATGGGTCCAATCACATGTCAATAAGCCTTTGTTTTTGTTTTTTTTTTTAATTTAATATTGAGGGTAGAAGTGTAAATTTGATATATATTCATCTGATAATTTTTTTATCAACCAAAATAATTGACACCAATAATTTGCCATTATGGCTTCCTTTGAGAGGCTTTCTTGCTGTTTTTTAAAGCTATTTTTTAGTTAAAAAATTTAATTTTTTTACTAAAAAATTGCTTTAGAAAGCCAATCCAAACGAATCTTATGATAGAAAATCTAAGAATATTCGATGAGTAATATTTAATGTTTATTTGAAAGAAATTATATTTTTGTGATTTTCAAATAAAATTATTTTTTTTAATGTGTGTGTTTGAATATGATTGAAACTGAATTTTACAAATAGTTTTGTTTTATTAATAGTGAATTTAATTATTTCTTTTTTTTTTAATGGGAAGTCACTTGCATAATCAGTTATTGTATTAATTTGAATTGTAATGAGTGCCATTGTTATCAAGAGCTATTAATAGAAAGAAGGATTTACATACATATCATAAATTTATTATGTATTTATATATATAATATTTAAATTATTTGCTTATTTATGCATCACTTAAAATTTAAATAAAATTAAAAATACAATTAATATTAGCTTAGTTAAAATAAAACCAAAAATTTTGTGCACATGCTTTGAAGTGATTTAAATACTAATGAGCTATTTAGTTTGAAGTAAAATGGGTGAAAAATATTCTAAATAAAAGGGTTTTGAGAATATTGATATTTGGTTTAAAGTAAAATAAATGTATTGTAAAATTTTGATGGATTTGGAATGCACCCTCTAGTATAAAGTTTGTGTATTTGGAATTCGATCGATTTGGACGATTTCCAAATACACCATAAATTCTTTGCCATTGTCGTTGACAGTCCCAGCCACTCATTATCGTCGCCATTCCCTTGGTCGCTAGCCAGCACCCACTCCCTCTTCTTTGGCCACGACCACTACTTGCCTGACGCAACCGTTGATCGCCATCACTCACCTCCAGTTGCAACCACCACAGATGCCACCCGTTGCAGACCATCACCATCGACCAACACCCATCATCGCCACTAAGTATCACTTGCCTCCCACCATCATTGCCACCATCATTAACCACTATCATCAGCACCGCTAATCACTATCTCCACTGCCAACCATCGCCTCCGGCGACCATCACCCCATCGTTGGCTACCATCGTCATTGTCGACCACCAACAATTAACATATTTTCACTTTATATTGCATACATTTTACTTAATACTTAATCACTTGTATTTCTTTTACACTCATCCAAATAACTCCAAAATATTTCAAATACATCGTGCTCCTTTTTCAACTAACCAAACAACCTGTAAAATAATATAAAAATTTAAATATTAGATATATGAATATATAGAAATTTTGAGATATGCATGTAAGTGCCCTTAATAAAAATAATATTTTAAGTGTCACATTATTAATTTATATTATTACTTTAGAGAAAAAAGTAAAATATGAAAAAAAAAAAAAAAAATCCTTCATAGTTAATCCTCACATTATCACATTTCACCTTTAAGATGGTGAATTTCTCTAACCTTTATGAAGATGAACCAACTCTTTTTAATTTTTTAAATCAAATAAAATATGAAGTAGGTTTTATTGATCCTTTCCAAATTCCAATCATATTTAATTTACATCAAAATAAGATAACCCACGATGCTTTATAAAAATAAGGGACATAATAATAAAAATATCTTCTTAAATTAATTTTGAGAAAAATATTATATAAATTCTTCTACAAAATAGTAAGCATTAAAACATCTTATTCTATCATAGATATGTGAATAACAAGAATTAGAACCCGAACCCAAACTGTATGTAAACGGGTTTTCTTAAATTATCTTTTAGAAAAAATATTAAATAATTTATTCTACAAAATAATAAGCATTAAAGCATCTTATTCTACCATAGATATATAAAAAACAAGAATTAGAACCTGAACCTAAACTGTTTGTTAAACGAGTCGACCCGAAACTGGATTTTCTGTGTCGGGCTCGAGTCGTGTCATAAATTGGAAAAATTATTCTGTGCAGACGCCAAATGCCGTTCGAAGACCAATCAGAATGTGTCATGTCACCCTTTTGCTGTACCACGGCTTGGTATTGCTCGGTACCGTGACTTAGTACTGCTCGGTACCGTGACTCAGTACTGCTCGGTACCATGACTCAGTACCGCTCGATACTGTGGCATCCGGACGTAGAGCTTCGTCCGGTGTCCGCAATTTCTCCATAAATTGACACCCCTTGTAGAATGCATTAGAAAGTTAATCAACGAAGATCATCCGCTCAACCCTCCATATATGAAAGAAAAAAAAAAAAAAACAAAAACAAATGAAATCCTGTTGTGCTCAATCATCATCTATATAACTCTATAAAATAAAACATCCAGCTGAATGTAAAGGTTTTATTTGGGACGACTTTCTTATTAATTTCTGAAGCAATAAAAATTTTTTATACAAAAAAAAAAAATTACATTAAAAAATTGATTCAGAAAGTAGTGAGAAAGCTGTCCCAATGAAGCTTAAGACAAATAAGTTGTTTAAAAAAATTTGTTATCATTAGCAATTTGCTGGATCTGCCTAAAAACAATGACATGCTGCCCACCAAGTTGATAAACTAAAAGACCTAACAACCTTCCTTTCTCACTTGCACTTTGTTATCATTCTCTCCTTGCTGGATTTGTCTCTAAATAGTTGTTTATTATTGTCATCATTACTAATGGAAAACATATGATGCCATCATTATTAGGCTTCGTTTTGGACGACTTTCTTGATGTTTCTTAAAACAGGTTTCTATTATAAAAATTTGATACTAAAAATCTGCTTTAAAAAACTGTAAGTAGATTTTTTTAAAAAAAATTTCAACTCTCCTAAATAATAATATTTTGATATGAAAAAATATGTGATGGTCGTCAGGATGTTTTTGACATTTATACAAAATTTAAATTATTTTCTATGGTTTGTTTGATCATCGAAAATAGAGGAAAATTAAAATATTACAAATTTAACATTTGGACATTCGAAAATTAGATTTTTCCTCATAATTAAGAAAACATTTTTGTGATGAAAAATATTTAGGGGTAGTCAACATGTTTTCAATAGAAGATTGGAGCTCCTCTATAAGGATTGTGAATCTCAATCGCAGCTCACACCTCATTACTTTGGGTCTAATATGACCAAATGGAAAATGTCAACCCCCTTTCACGACGAAGATCAATGTTCCACCATAAAGATTGCGTCTTAAAATTGCCACTTCTAATTCTACATATGCAAGATAATATCAAGACTCTTTATAGAGGAGAATTGAAGTCACGAAGAAATTCTAGAACTTCTGACCGGCTATTATAAATTTTTCCCTTATCAAGGGATGAAGAAGAGTTCATATTTTTTTATATATAATTTTTAATTTTTTATGGATTCTTTAAAAGCTTTTAATGTTTTAAATTTTATTTCATTTAGAATATTTTTTATTTGTTTGTTTTTAAAAACAAATTTTATTTTGGTTTAAAAAGTTATACAAAAAGGTTTGTGCTATTAGACGTATGTTAGGCCGGCCTGGCCCATCTTAGGCTTAGTTTTGGGCCTAGACATGTCTTTACTGATATTTTTTGAGTTTGCACAATTATTTTTTAATATTATAATTCAAATTTAATACTTTTAGAGCTTAACAAAATTATAAAACCAATTGAAATAAATTTATTAATTTAGATATTTTAAAGCAAAATATTTTGACACTCAAACTTTAGAAAATGCTCAAATTTTGATTGCAGATATTTTACTTAGTTAAAAATATGTATATTTTTAAAATAAACAAAAAGCGACTAAATAAAACCCTAAACCTCAACGCCTCCGCCGCCTCGTCATCGGTACCCTCGGGAGAACGGCAACAGAGCTCACCTTCCTCTTCCACACTACCTGGGGATCAATTGATCTAGGGTTTCTTTGCATTATATCAGTGGGAAAATGCGCCCCCCGAGCTCTGGCCGTGGAGGCTTTCGAGGGGGTTTCCGTGGCGGGAGGGGCGGAGGCGATCGCGGTGGACGAGGTCGCGGTGGCTTTGGTTTTCGAGACGAAGGGCCGCCGTCGGAGGTTGTGGGTTAGTTTCTGGTCTGATCAATTTCGGTTTTTTCTTAAGTTGTTTTGCTTTTGTTTGGTGCATTTGATTCTAATTTCCGATTTCTCTAGAGGTTTCATCGTTTCTACATGCCTGTGAGGGTGATGCTGTTACTAAACTCACTAATGAGAAGATACCTTATTTTAATGCCCCGATATATCTTCAAAACAAGACGCAGATCGGAAAGGTCGACGAGATCTTTGGGCCTATTAACGAGTCGGTGAGCATTGAATTTGTTAACTTTTGGGCTTCTGCTGAACTTAAATTGTCAGATGGAGTAGTTTTTCTAGTGACATGTTGGTTTGTTCTGCTGCAGTACTTCTCAATTAAGATGATGGAAGGGATTATAGCGACTTCATATTCAGCTGGAGAGAAGTTTTACATTGACCCTGCTAAGCTGTTGCCCCTTGCTCGTTTTCTTCCACAGCCAAAGTATGCTCCTCGGTCACTTTGTTAAATCGTTTTCTTACCATTGCTAATTATTTCCTTTTACTAATGGCCATGGTTAGTTGTCAAAAAAATAAGATTGATTTGATGTCTTTTGTTCATTGGTTACATGATCACGTCTGAAATTTCATCTGCTATTTATTTTTCTTCTCTTTAAAGATAAAAGTTTTGAAATGGGCGGAAAAAGTTGAAACGAGTGGATAAAATGCATCTTTGCACGGTTCTTAAAAATGAATAAGTTTTTCAAGATTATGATAATTATAAGGGAATCAAACTTCTGAGATAGATGGTAAGATTTTGAGTCAGGTTAATGTAACAAAGGCTTAGAAAAATCACATTGATATCTTATGTTTAGAATATTTAGGATGGTGGTGGCTTCTGTGTTAAGGCAATGAATCAGAAAGTATAAAAAGTAATGAAAGGATCTTCATAGCATGCATAATATTTTTTATTATGTATTTGATTAGCATGGGAATTATTTTATTAGGGGAGAAAATAAGGGTTTGGTCACATAAAACGACAGCCTTTCGATGACCCGGTTAGAAAAGTAGATGTATTAGATTTGACTTATGTTAAGAAAGATAGAGGTAGACCTAAAAAGACTTGGTTAGAAAATATTAGAAATGACCTTTTTTTTTAGATTTAGATGAGAATTTGACTCTTAACAGTACACAATTGAGAAAAAAGATTCATGTAGCCGACCCTACATAGTGGGATAAAGGCTTACTGTTGTTGCTGTGGGAGAAAATAAGCGTCTATCTTGACGTTATTAAAGATGTTCATTTATTAACTTTAGCTTACAGAAGAAGATAAGATGGTGAAAAAAGATTTTGGCAATTTGGGTTCATAAGGGAGGACAAAAGGTGGCATAAAACAATATAATGAGCAGGGAGGATGAAGGTGAGGGGATTAAGATGGAAAATGGTTGACTAAATCAAATATGATTAGAAATAATTTAAAATGACATGTAAAATAGAGTAAACACTATATGCAGTACTCAACAAGATGACTATATCATGAGCACTATTAGAGTAGTTTTAATGTAGTTGGGATTTGCTAATGTAGATGTGGATGGTCTGCAATACGAGATTACAATCACAGATTTGAGAAATTATTTGAAGAGGAAATGATGGAAAAGGAAAAGAGGGAATCATTATTTAGAAATCATTATTTTTCCATCTTAGGTTGTTCACTCATCTTGCTCCTTATTAGATCATTTTTTGGCTATTATTGTGCGTGCTCAAAACCACCACAAGTTTACTTTTCGCTACCTTATCTTTCATATATGCTTCTCCCATTTTTCTCTTCGATAGTATCATTCTTATTGCATTCCTATTTTTACATGTATTCTCCATCTTAGGTTGTTCACTCATTATTAGATCATTTTTTGGCTATTATTGTGCGTGCTCAAAACCACCACAAGTTTACTTTTCGCTACCTTATCTTTCATATATGCTTCTCCCATTTTTCTCTTCAATAGTATCATTCTTATTGCATTCCTATTTTTACTATGTATTCATCTTAACATCCCAATTTATTGTCATACTTAGTTGTTATTTGCTTTCTTTATTCCTGAACATTTTGATTTATGTAACATGGTGTAAGCTTGGTTGAACAAGTTTGAATAGTGATGTTAGGTTGCCCATTAATCATAAAAACAAAGAGGAAATGTATGTAGTGAATCATATTTTGATTTTTTTTCCATTGCTAGGTTGCTTTTTAGAATCACTGTTTTCTGGCTTCTTATGGTAGAATGGTGGAAATTGTTAGTTTGATTTGTCTGCACAATTGATGCACTACAACAATACTCAGTAACAGCTAAAATGACAGGAGAATTCCCCATGAAAACCCAAAGCACAATCCCAATAACAGCCAAGCTTCTTTATAAATCTTAAGGTTAATTGGACCATGTATGACTCAAATAAGCCCTACAACTCACCTAGGCATATTTTGGGTTTGAAGCATTGGCTTTAGCTTCAACTTATTACAAATGAGTCTGTAAAAGATTAAGAAGGTTCATTGACTGGCATAGGAGAGCCTAGGACAGGTTGCTAAGTGTCCTAGTTGCAATATGAGACAAATTAGGGTTAACCTAGCCTAAGGGTCTCAAGAGTTCAAAATGGAATATGGGGTACCCTAAGGTTTTAGATTTTCTATAGCTAACCACAGTCACAATTAGGTCCTTAAGAATTCACCTATGAGTGTCCTATGAGAAAGCCCTATGATGTGGCAGGGATTCTTATGAATTAAGGCTAAGCATATGAGGAATTTGTCAACCTCATTCAAAAAGTGTGGTTAATAGTAATATTAACATTCACATATTAGCCACATTGAATTACCATTTAAATAATCTTTATAGTACAATGCTGATATCCATATAACACAATTGGTCTAATTACAGTTTTTAAGAATAAAAATTTACTTTATAAATTTTTTTCTTGCATGCTCTTTAGACAATTTTTGATTTAAATTGCTCCAACTTAATTATAGAAGTTATATTGTAAACTCTATCCAACTTTTATGAATATTGATCCAAGATAATGAAACATGTCTAATCTAGGTATCACTTGATCTCTATTGACTAATTGCTGTTAATTTCATGCGCATTGTGCTAACAAATCATATAAATTTTTATTTTACTATTTAGCCATTTATCTTTCAAAATTTTTTTTTTTAATTTTTTTATCTATTTTGATAGAGGCCTATACTGCTAGAAGTGTATCATCTACAAATAGAAAAAATCAATTGCCTTAATAATTAATATCATTTATAAGCATCTTCTTAATACTAAATGATCTGTTACCACTAATCCCTGATATGGTGCTAATGGGATCAAGAATGCTATCTTTGATCGCCACACAACTACTTTCTAATATTTTCCAAATTTCATTATAAATATTAATGATAATTTCAACGTACTTTTTCTTTATTCTCTATATTTTTATCATGTTCTTGACACTAAAATCATCGTCATGACTTGTAAGTTTAATACTCAAAGGATGTTTGGTTTGAAGTAAGATTTGTAAAGTAATCCAAATGCATGCAGTGATTTTGACAATATTGATATTTGGCATTAAGTAAATGAAACACATACTTAAATTTCAAAGCGAATGCACTATCTAGTTTAATTTTGGTTGTTTTTGAAAATTATTAGATTTTGCCGATTTCCAGACACACTCTAAATTCTATACTATTATTACCATAAGCTGCTGCCATCCACCGCCTTTGCCATCGGGTCTTGTCAGCAGAACTTTGACCACCACCATCATTAGCTACCATTGGCTGCCACCAACCACCACTAGTAGTTGCTAGCAAGAACTGCCAAGAACCATTGGTTGTCGCTTCCCTCCATCCCTAGCCACCACCACTGGCTGCCGCCATAGTGTGCCCCTGGTTTGTGAGATTGCTGACCACCACCCTCCGCCCTCTCGCTTTAGACCACCACCCTCCGCCCTCTCGCTTTAGCTTGCCACTGGCTATTGATCAGCACTATCTTTCGACTTTACATTACAAAAAAGAAAAATAAAATCACCTATATCTATTTTACTCTCATCTAAACATCTATAAACATTTCAAATATATTGCATTATATTTTACTCTTCTTTTATTTGTTAGCAAACTAAACTGCCCCTAAATTATAACATTCTCAATTATGTCGTTTTTCTTGCTATTGATATCAAAATAAATTTTCTTCTTCTGAAAAAAATCACTTGCATTTGTACTATCTTTTAGCATTGAAAAAAATCAAATTACTTCAGCATCTCTTCTAACTCTTCTAACTCTTTAAATTTAAAAAATTCTTTTGGCCGTATGATTTTTGATAAATTCTTAAATTCTTCAATGGATTTCTATATTGATGCGAGTAAAAGGCTCCTTGTGGATATAAGCACCTATTCCCCATAAAATCATGAATATAGAAATAGGATGATTGATATTCTGTGTCTGCAACTGCAGGGGAGCAAAGCCTTCTGCTGGAAGAGGCGGCGGACGCGGTGGAGCAAGGGGTGGTGGGCGCTTCGGTGGTGGTCGCTTTGGTGGTGGGCGTGGGAGGGGTGGTCCTCGTGGCGGAGGTCGAGGAGGCCCTCCGAGGGGAGGCCGCGGCGGCGGGTTTAGAGGCCGTGGAAGATCGTAGATCAAAAACTGATCCATCAGGTGGAAAATATGTTGCAGATTGATTTGGTTAGATTCTATAGTTTTTTATTATGTTTCTTTGAGCTGGTAGAAGATACTGAAAATTTCATCTGAATTTCTCATCTATTGCTTTCATTGGTTCCCTTTTTCATCCACATATTTTGTACTGTTAAGACTTTGTGAAACTCTTCATTTAGAACGTTCAGATTTTAGATATTTTAAGATATGCAGCTAAAATTTAAGAGCGGCTGTGGTCTGTTCTGCTCTTTAGTTGTATCTGATTTTGACCTGGTTTATGAATTTAGATTTGATTCGTTGGAACTTTATAGCTTTTGTTGGAGAGCTTTTTTTTGTTATTTTTTTACTAAAAAATTTAAATTAAGAATTGTTGTAAAAAAAATAATTTAAAAAACAGTAAGAAAATTATCTCAAATAAAGCCTTGATTTGAATCACTTTGACTCGTAAATTGGCTCATGTATCTCCATACTTCAGACAGGAAGAATTCATGATTGAAATGTAAATTTATTTTGTTCTTAAATTTATAGGATTCTCTAAGGGCTAGGTTGTTCTAAAAAAAGCTAAGGCTCATTTAGAACTGTTTTATTATTATTTTTTAAAGTAGTTTTTTTAATATAAAAATTTTTTATTCAAAAAAAAATTAAACTATTTGAAAATTAGTCAAATTTATAGATTTAAATCAGAACTCTCAAAATCAAAAGTATTAATGAATTTCAAATTATTTTGAACCGAAACCAAACCAAACTAAAGCATAAATCAATAGAAATAAATTTTTTGTTTTGCATATCTCAACCTTTGTTTATCCATACATTCATCATTAACTCAATCCCTACCCCAATCAATTCCATTCAGTTACATATCAATCTACAACTTTATTTGAAACAGTTATAGTACATTATTTTTTTTGTGCTTTCAAAAATGTTTTTATTAAAAAATAGTTTTACAAAGCCAAAAAAAAAAAAAAAAACATCTCAATGAAGCCTAAATATTCTTTTTTTCCTAATTTTAGTTTAGGGTTTATTTTTCTTACTACAAATCACATATAATCAAAGCTTAAACAACAGATAAAATTTGGCAATTTTTAAATAATATAATTCCCATAGAAGACTCGATAAAAACTTTTAATCAAAATCTAAAATTTCCGAACAAAGAAGGAAGTTAATGTTCATTGTAATAAATATCGATCAGAAAGCTTTTCAAGTTTTGAACCTGCATGGAGATGGCAAAGTAAAAAAAAAAGCAGCAGAGAGGCTTAACGCTTCTTAGAGACACCAACTGTCTTTCCTCTCCTCCCAGTAGTCTTAGTGTGCTGTCCACGAACTCGAAGTCCCCAATAATGGCGAAGACCCCTATGGTTTCTGGATCATCACAGTTGATCTACATAAGCTTCAAAGCTATAGATATGGATGACCATAACATACACAGCAAAAAAGGATAAAAATAAAATAAAATTAATTAAGTTCTTTCAAAAGGATTTCTGTGAGTTCTAACACCACTTGCTAGAAGATTTCTAACAAGGAAGATAAAGTTTTGGTTTTATATGTACCGATGATCAAATTTGTTTTTAACTCAAAAAATTATATTCATAGATCAAGGACAACCAAATGGTATTTTTATATCAACTTTTTTTAACCAAGGCATGTGCTTCATTCTAATGATTTACATTGTTTATCAGAAGGAATGGACATGAACAACTGGGATGAATTATTCTGTGCGGACATCGGACGGGGCGAATCGTCCGGTTTGTCTCTGTGAACAGTAAAAATAAAAGCGCAGCTTTACTGTTCACAGAGACAACCGAATGGTTCTTCCCATCTGGTGTCCGCACAGAATAATCTCTCACCAACTGGAGAACACTAAAGGTGAGCTATATCATGCAAATGGAACCAAATCTCTAACTAAGTATTATCTTCTTCAACTCCAATGCTAGTAATTATATGGGAGCCATGGTAAGAGATCTTTACCAACCTATTTAATATGTGTAGAAAAGGAATGTTTTGTTGGGGGGTTTAGGAATGCAACAATTTGCTATAGGTATGAAAGGGCCGGCCACACATCAATTCTTGTCATTCTTCACTGCAAAAGATGTGTTTTTCTTGTCATGTATTTTCCCCTCGAGCTATTAAAGAAGACCATATTTCATTTCGCAAATCTCCAATAACCTTTGTATATACAAAATCAGAAAGAATGATCTTTCATAAGCACTCAATTGGCATTGAACCAAGGACTGAATCAAATCTATTAATTTCACCAAGCCATGTTCTTTCATTGTAAAGTTCAATACCAAAGAAGTTTAAGTTAATGTGCAAATAGGTTGTAACAAGCTTAGTGCTTTAAAGTTTTAGTTAAAAAGTGAAATGATGGTCTTGGTTGTTTTGGTTTCAAAAAATTCAAAGTTTGGGTTGGCTTACATGGATTGCCTTTTTGTTTCTGGAATTGTTTAGTTCTTGAGTTTATCACCTCTCATGTTTGGAAAATTGAATAGCATGGGCAGAAAAATAATTTCTAAAGACAAAAACTGGGAAGCATTGGTGTAGTAGGTTGAAGTTGAACATCTTCAATCATGCCATAGAAGCATTTCAAGCCAGCCAAATGAGTTTATCTTAAATCATACATAAATCTTAAGATTTTCCGTTCTTCCGCAGCATTCCGGTAAGCTGGTTGATTCTCAGACTCTGGAGTTCTAAGATGATGTCAAATTTGGCAAATTGGATTCTAGACCTAATTATTACGGGGCAACTCAATCATTAATCAGGTGGTCTCACCTCCTAACAATTCAAATTTGAATTTGAAAATGACTAATGATTTGCATCCACAATTCTCCTTTACAAAACCCAGCAGCCATTATTCGGATAATGCCATCATTGCGATATTATTTAATGGGTATTCTATGTTTTATTGAGGAAATATCAGTACAGTTTCTTTGGAAAAGGTCAAACTCTTTCTTCTAAGTGCTCCTATTTTTCAATCGTTCCAGCATTATGTGACTTCAAACACATTCGTCAAAGTTATGTCCCGAAGACAACTTCATTCCCGAGCTTTCGGAAGGCGTCACGAAAAAGCAACATTTTTACATCAGTCAAAATCAGTATATTCAGAACATACGAACAGTTCCGATGTTTCATTTACCCCTTCAGTTCTCCCCTTGGTGGCACGTCCTTGTGGTATTTTAGGATTGGAGAGTTCAGAAATCCTTTCAAAATTTGGCCTTAGTTCCCCGACTATTATTAAATATCTAATTTAATCCCAAACCTACATCATGACTTAATTTAGTTCCCCAACTAATAGAAAATGACCCAATTTGATCTCAAGATCAACAACAATAATTAAAAGTAACCCCAACTATTAAATTTAAGAGCATTTTGGGTATTATGACATATATGATATTATATATATTTTTATTATTTATCATATTAAAACAAATACAAAAATCATAATAGAGGTTAACCAACTAAATAACAAGAGTGAATAATTAATAAATGTGATTAAATTCAATTATAATTTTTGTATTTATTATAATATGATAAAAGGCAATATATATCAAAATAATAAGATAATCTCACATACACCCTAATACCCAAAATACACTCGCATTTAAGTCTTGGACTTAATTTTAAGTGTAACTTTTATCCTTGAGACCAAATTGAGATATTTTCTAATTATCATAATATTAAATTAAGGGATTAAAATTAGGAACTAAATTGGGTATTTACTAATAATCGGTGGACTATTTTGGACTTTTAATTGTTTTCTTTTCATGCAAGCCTAGTTGATATTTCCTCCTGTTATGGACATAGGAACGTTGAGTGTTTTAAGCTTAGGCTCAGTGGTCAAAAGATGAATGATTAAAGATGAGCGACTTTATATTATTCACCTGCGAGAATCAACATTGCTGAATCCTTCTTCCAGAAGCCATATATCTATTGATGTTTCTAACCCTTAAATGCAAGGATTTCCTGGACACATTTTCTCTATAAGGTTGTAATCCTAAGTCTGATGGAAGTTCTTTCTTCTTCTATATTATTGATCTCCATTCGTTTCCATATGATTCATGCTAATCATGATTTTGATTCAACCACTGTTTATACTCTTTCTAATAAGAATGATAAGATGCTCTTCAGAGAATGATAAAGTTATAAATGGTCCTAACTTTGATTTGGAGATCTATAGTTCTTAAAAAAACAGTTGACGGCCGGATTATCTATACAAGGAAATTTCCAAACAAGGTTTCTTTGCTTAACAAAGGTATCATTCAATCAGCTATCAATGACATACAAAGAAAATTTGGAAGATGATTTCCATATATTTTTCAATTGTGAGGAGGCTCTATAATATTTTTGGAATCTACACTCCCAATGATAACTTGGACTCAAATTTTTCACAAGATAAATTTATCAAAAAAGATTATTCGGAGCTTTGGTATATTTTCCTCTTCCCTTCCATTAGAATCATTTGGAGTGAAAAAAATGTGAGATGCTTCTCCAATATGAAAAAGGTCCTTTAGTTTGAAGCTTATTAATCTTGCTTATTTTTTAATCAATAATGCAATTGAAAAAAAATACTATCCGAATTAACAAAATTATGGAGGAGAATCATTCACCATCTAGACATCTTGAGATTTTCCCAATAACTATTTGCGTGTTTATTCTTTCTTTTTTTTTCTCTACATTTTTTGGGGATTTTTCTCTAATCTTGTGTTCTTATATGTAATTTCTGTTCCATATTAATGAGAAAATTTTGCCCAACTTTCCATTAAAAATTATATTTCTTGACTATCCAGTATGAGACTCTCTCATATGCTTTGCCAAGCTTTCTAACCCCATACGACAAAAAGCATAACCCTTGCAATCATCAATATAAAGCTACCAACAAAAATCAAGGTCTATTTGGATGTTAAAAATTTGACAATTTCCCCTATTTATCTTGTTTGCTTTAGAAAAATCTAGTTTTAGGAAAGTATGATAAAAAATATGGCTACAAATAGCTTTCTAAGAACTCTAATGACACAAATACCAAAAAACAAAATCCACACCAAAAGCGCCAAAAGTATTATTTACAAGTAAATAGTAAGTTTAAAAGTTTGGTCTTACTAATTGATCAAATGACAGATTTCTAATTCAATAAAAGTACAAGGGGTATGTTTTCTGAATATCAACATTCTTGTTTTCTATCATAGCATAAATTAGAACAATACCCATTCCTCTTCCATATGCAGCCAACCAATGGCCCCGACATGATTGATTCATAATCTTCCTAAATGGTATCTCAGAAAGAGTAAAAGAGGCTAATAGATTGAATAGCATTACATGTGCTGGACCTCATGGGAGAAAGATGTGCAAAATATAGCAGATTAAAAATGTGAATAATTAAAAAAAAAAATCATATTCATAAATATAGAAAAATCATATACATTATAACAAATTTCACTCAACATTACCTGACCAAAATTTTATTTTATCAAAGTGGCAGGATAAGATTCCTTAAAAAATCATTTCATAAAGCAATTCTTGCCAAAATCAAAACAAGTAAAATACCCACATGACATCTTAGAAAGCCGGGACAAAAAAAGATACTAAAAACTACCAAAAAAGACCTCAGGTTTTTAAACCTATCATTGAATACCCCATAGTTGTATGAAATGGCTTGAGCGTAGATCATATGTTGGCAATAGCTACCAAGCTAAAAGCATAAAGACAAAATAATGGAACATGGCCTAACAATGCTAACTCAATTATTCAATAATAGGTACTCATCTTCTCACAAAAATATTTATACAAAGGTCAAACATAATAATTCCCCAAGAGTAACACCTCATTTAAATAGGTAAATATATAAATATTCAACCAAATCATCCCCGAAGAAACATTCATAGCAAATCACATCACAATGCTATTATCATTACTATGAATATTTTGTTCACATTAACGTAGGGGATTAATCATATTTTCTCCCATGTTGCAACACTAACAATATAATGATATAGTTAAAAATTTAGAAGTCACAGTCACTAGTTAATAAAGAGTAAAACCAAACAGAGGAATAAAGCTGGGTTTGGGACGACATTTTTAGCGACGTATTGCTTAAAATGCAACCAATATTGTGTTTGAGGCGTTACTTTATAACATAGTTCTCAAATTTTTACGTTCTCAGTGTGCTTTCCATGGCCTACAAACATCGGTCATGGTTTGTGCGTTCCACATTTCTGAAAAGAAAAAAAATGATGCGAACACCCTTCTTTCGATGATATTACAGCAAAGAGAAAGGAGTTTCCTTCACCCACGAGAGAGATGAATCCAGTTCGGCACTTCGGCGAGTTAGTTCTGACATCAATCTTTATCAGATCCACGCCTCTAAGCCCTTGTGGTGCCATATGATCTATGCCAACGATGCTGGCTTAAGAGGAGGAAGCCAATCTAGTTGCTGGTGGGTGGAATCGAGTATAAATGGCAGAGGAGTTATTAGGAGGTGGGGGAAGGGTAACAGGAAGAAGAGTACAGGAGGAAGCGGACCCGCATTTACAGTAGGACGTGGAGGACGAAGAAGAGGAGGGGAGGCTACTTTTGCTTTGCTGTTTGTGGAAGGGCTTGATTTTGTCTTCAAGCGTTTATATAAATAAAACTTATATTGAATGTGAGAAAGGATATTATATATATAAGACTATACCAATATATACATTGAATGTGAGAAAGGTCCTATAACTCTTCAATATTGATTAAGCATCTCGCTGCTTTAATATGATTTTCAAGCTTATCTAGACTCCATAAGGTCAAAGTGGGTGAATAAATAACTCTTTAGATCACCTTAATAAGCCTAAAGCAAAGCAAATAATCTTGGAAGTGAAAGTCCACATAACAGGAATGATACGAGGCAAACAGAATACAACTTCACACACTGATAACTTAGAATAATGAATAAAAGTTAAAAGATAACAATTATGAAACATCCTTTATCCTATCCAAAAAATTTTGAAGCAATGGTTGCATAAATAATAATAAAAATATATATATTGCAAAATGACACACCTGATCTTCTTCAACCTTTCGAGATCATCCCTTAGTTTCATGTCCAGGGCATTTGACACTACTTGGGAGTACCGACCATCCTTATAATCTTTCTTTCTGTTTAAAAACCAATCTGGGATCTTGAATTGGCGTGGATTTGCAACAATAGTCATGAGATTCTCAAGTTCAGCAGCAGAGAGTTCACCAGCCCTGCAAAATACGGAAGTAGAAATATCCCACTCTAACAAATACTTTGAATGATTAAGTAGAAATAAAAACTACAATCCGCACTAAAAAGACAATTCGGTAGCGTGAAGGAAACAATGAAAATGAAGATTCATCTTAATTGGAGCTTCTTTGAATTTCTAATTAAATAGAAATATAAAACCAGTAGACCTAATTCATTGTCATTCATGGTTAATCAACTAGAAAACTAAATGCTTGTGCTTACATCCAATAAAAATTTTGGCAACAAAACTCACATTATGGGCATCATAGAATTGGATAACTAAGACTTCAGGAGGAGAATCAAACGTATAATTCTTACAGATCTTATGGAACAATAAACTCAGTCAAACTACTTATCAGTATTACCTCAAAGAAAGGTATAAAAGTATTCTAATAGATTCAGAAAAATTTGAGCCAAGTAGGAAATACAACCAAACCACAGAAAAAATAACCCCTTAGCCCTATACCGAACAATGGGCTAGAGAAACAAAGAAATATTCATAAGATCGATCACAAGAAATGAGCTTTTTAAGCTCCACATTAAAGTTTAAACTAATAAAAGACATCCCAAGCCCAAGTGGTATCGTCCAATCAAAACTATAATGACCTCAACGCAGGAAAAAATCATACCTCTTGTTCATGTCGACGTCGGCTTTCTTGCAGACGATGTTGGCAAAACGGCGACCGATACCCTTGATGGAGGTGAGAGCAAACATTATCTTCTTCTTTCCATCCACGTTAGTGTTCAGCACACGAAGGATGTGCTGGAAATCCTCGTTTGCAATGAGAGACTGCGTAAAAAGATCGCACCGAAAAACAAAAAAAAACAAAAAACAAAAAGTTATCAGAGAAGCGATCTACAAAAATCGAGTCAGGAGAAATTAGAAATAATTTTGACGAAATCCAACCATTTTGCCTTGGCTTAAATTTTTTTCCCAAAGCTAGGGTTTCCAATCCCTCCGACGTCGGCTCCAATCGCGCCTGTGAGATATCTGAGATGGTTGCAGGATATAAGTTGAAGAAGAGGAAGCCCTAAGCCAGAAGAAAATGGGCCCTTAACGTCTAGACCGTACGGCCCAATTGTTTTGAACAACTGGGTTCAGAGCTCATTGGGCCCAATCATCTAAGATGTAACTACTTTTTAATAGATAGGGGACTATTGGAATTCTTATATTAGAGAGATCATTGAATAACATCTATTATAAATAGTATAGTTAAAAATAAATGTAAATGATTTAGAAGTTTATTATAAAAAGTATAGATGCTTCCATTAAGTGAACATATAAACTTAATATGAATGATTAAAAAAAATCATATAAGATGATGTGGATAATTATTCAAAATAATTTATGAAGAATATGTTTTACACATCGTATAACGTTTAAGAATAATTAATTAAAAATAAATATTTATAATTTTATGGCCATATAGTTGGGATAATGCTAATAATCATGAAGATAATTTTCTTAAATATATAATATATAGATCAATAATATTATAGTAGTAGGCATTATTTACTTATGCATATCACAGACTGATTTATGGAACTTAATTTTTTGTGTCAATAAGCTAGCCGTAATTAGGATAGGGTAGCATGTAAATAATCCTCAACTCTTTAATCATTATAATTAATTTTTAGAACATTATTATTATTGCAAGTTGGAGGCCATATTGCTAGAGATTGTGTATGTGTTCATAACTTTAATTTCAAACAACAATCTACATCTAATTAAAAAAAATAGAAAATAAATCAAATAGGGTATACATAATAGTTTACATGAAAATCTCAGAAGAAAAGCTCACATTCCATCGTCTAGTTAGAAAGATTTTCACTAAGTATAGCCCTGAGTTATAATAGAGATCCATTCCTCAAAATATTACAGAAGGTGTTGAGTTAGAATAATTTTCAAGTAAGACATGAATCTCATTAAAATTCACAAGCAAATGAAGAAATCTTTGGAGACAAGTTGATTTAAGCTAAATGACTCTCTTAGTTTGTTGTAGTTATCTTATCTTTTTCGTTTTATATTTAAAGTTGTTTGACTCAATTTTATTGTCTATTTTTTCTAAGCATTTAGTTTGATTTTCAAATGTTATCTCCAAGTTTAAGTTTGATGTCTATATTTTGTTTGATTTTCTCTTAATTTGATTAAAGAGTTAGAAACATTATAAATTCTCATATACTTATGCCCTAAAGTTTTAGGCTTTTTTAAATTAATGCGTAAGCCCATATATAGGGTTTTCCCAAAAAAAAAATAAAAAAGGTTAACCACTGAAGAGAAATGACATTAATTAAAATATGATGAGCAAGGTGAATTACGCAAGTGCAAGAAGTAAGGAGACTTTGATTCACCTATTCTTATAATACGGCGTATTAAAAATAATCTAATTATCCCTTTCTAATTCAATATTTTTATAATTTTTATGATTTTATGATTTTAATTGTATAATTTTAAAAAAATGATAATTTGCTTTCCTAATTAAACTTCATCAATAAGATCAAAGTAATCTCGGGTGATTGCTGTGACAATCAAGAAGCCATTTGGGACTTTGTTGTACTTGATCTATTATTTCAAGGATTTGTTTGGGGGTGAATCTTTAATTGATGATATTTCCTATACTCAAATTATCCCTAATCTTTTTTCTTCTGCTGATAATGGCTCTTGATCTATTAGTCCTGAGGAGCGAGAGATTTTTAGTACTCTTTTAGATAAGAATTATGATTCTGTGGCTGGTCTTGATGGCTTCACCACCTTATTTTTTTAAAAAAAATTGGCTTATTATAAAAATTGATCTATATGAAGCTATTTTTTTTTCAATAATTGTAATGTTTCCAAATTTTTTCATAGCACTTCGATCGTGTTAATTCCTAAGTAAAGCAATCCTAAATATTGGAATAATTTTTGGCCTATCAGCCATTTTTCTACTTCTCATATAATTATTTCTAAAATTTTGACTAACAGATTGTCTTCTATCCATACTAAAATTATTTCTCATAATCAGACTAATTTTGTGAAAGGTAGAAGTATTGCTGATAATGTTCTGTTAGCCAAAGTGCTCACTCATGATATTCACAAAATGGTTTTTAGTCATAATATTATTTTAAAATTGGATATATATCACTAACATTCTCCACTTGTTTGGCTTTGATAGGAATATAAAAGCCGGTAACGACACTTCTAATGTGTATTTTAAAGCCGTTAAATGCATTTGATAAGGAGATCTTTTATCCCATGCCTTATATATTATTGCTACTAAATATTTATTTAGAGGTATGTCTCATTACTTTAATTGCTTTAACAAATCTTGCCTACAAAATTTATGGTGGTTTTAATATTTCTCAATTTTCTTTTGTGGATGACATCATTTTATTTTGTAATGAGTCTTTAATAAGTATAAAAAAATTAAATATATTATATGCGTATGTGAAAAAGAGAGTGATAATGTAATAATGTAATATCAATGTAATAATGTAATAATGTAATAATGTAAGCAGAATAATTGGTTTTAGTAAGTAGCCTATGCCTTTTTTATTATTTTGGAACTCCTATTCACAAAGGCCACAAAAAATCTTTTCTTTTTTGATAAGATGTTTACTGCTATCACTAATAAACTTTCTGCATTGGAATTCAAAATTCTTTTCATGTCGTGCTAGACTTATTTTTATTAAAAACATGTTTTGTTCTATTCCTATTTACTTAATTCAAACTGTGAACTTTACTATGGAAGTGTGCAATAGATTCGACAAAATTATTAATAGTTTTTTTGTGGTTCTTCTTCAAATTCTAAGAAAATTCATTGGTATAATTGGGCCTCTTGCACTGGTCATTTTAATGAAGGTGGTTTAGGCTGCAAATGTATTTCTTATATGGTCAAAGGTTTCTCTTATAAACTGTGGTGAAACTTTAGAAATAATGAATCCATGTGGGTCAAATTTATGAATTAGAAATATTGTAATAACAAGCATCATTCCTTAAGTTATTTTAAAAATGGTCAATATGTAATTTGGAATAGGCTGTGTAAAATTAAATAGTTAGTTGAAGGTACCCTCCATTGGAGATAACACCTGCTTTTGAATCCGCGTTATAATATCGTTGAGTATATTTTTGATATTCCTCTTGATCGTTCTCTTAATGATATTCCTATTTTTAAACTCTCTCAAGATGGTGAATTCAATCTAAAAAACGCTTGGCATAATTTTAGAAGTAAAAAATATACTAATACAATTTTTTGATAAAATTTGAAATCAATCTACCCCTCTATCTACTTCTACTCTTACTTGGAGAATATTGAAGGGGTTCATTTATGTTTAAAATAGGATGAAAAAAATGGCATTCAATTGGTGTCTAGATGCCAATGTTGTTCTCAAATTGAGACTTTAAACCATGTCTTTTTTGATAATCCCTTGGCCATCAATGTTTGGCTTGATTTAGAGAATAGTTTAGGCATTCGTGTGCTTTAGAATAATGATACTTTTTTTTCTCTTTTTTAGCTACATTGTTTCTTAATGAAGATAAAGGGCATCTCTATATTGTCATTCATTTTCTTATTTGGGTTATTTGGAAGGAAAGAAATAATAGTAAACATGAAAGAATCAAAATGAGTCATGAGAGAATTATTATTTCCCTTAAAGCTAAAATTCAATGTGGCTAAGGCATTGAAGCTCCATCATTTTAGTAATAACAACAGATATCTTCATTACTTTAACATCAATAGCTACTACTCACACTCGAGTAGTTGTTCTATTATTATCAAATGGATTAAGCATTTTCCTCATGAGTTTAAATTGAATATTGATGGGGCTATTAACAAGGATGGAGTGGCTTGTGGCAGTCTTATTAGAGATCACCGTGGTCACTTTATTTTTGGTTTTGCTTTGAATATTTGCAACAGAAATGCTATCTTTACTGAAATATACGCTTTATATAAAGGGTTACTCCTTTGTATTGATATTAAAACTATAAAGGTTTAGATTGAGACTTATTCCAATTTACTTTTATCTTTGGTGAATGCTTTTAAATGCCATAATGCTAATGTATTTTATCTGCTTAGTAAAGTTATGGTGTTATTGAACATGGTCAATTTTAGAATTATGCATATTTGGCGTGAAGGCAATTGTTGTGCCGATTGGCTGGCAAAGTTAGGGTCTAAGACTGCTAATTCACTCTATTTTGAAAATGACTCATCTCTTGGGTTGCTTAGAGGCATGATTGGAATGGATAGTATGAAGATTCCATATATTAGGTTTTGATGTCCTTCACTGTTTTGACTTTTACTTATTCTTTTCCTGCCTTGTGTTTTTCTTGTTGTTGATGTTAGTTACACCTGGTTTTCTATGATACTTTTCTCCTATATTTCATTTTCTTTCGTTGTTCTCCTGCAGGATTTTTGGGGTTTTGTTGATTTTCTTTTCTTCTTGTTGGTGGGGTTGTTTTGTTCTTTTCACTACTGGTCACCTTACAGGTATGGATTTTGGGGCTTTTGGATTACTATCCTATTTCTATGCTAACTGTGTTCATTTTTGGGGGTTTGTGTTGGTTGGTTGGTGTGTGAGTTGGGTGTGTCAGTAGGTTATTTTCTGCCAGGGTGGCTTTTTAGGTTTTTGGGGGCTCTTCTATCTCACCTTTGTGTTTGGTTTTGCAATCTTCTGTGGTCTCTGGGGTTTATGACTTGTCCTCTCTAGGCCTTGGTTGGTTAATTCTGTGGTCTGGGTTGGTTGATTGGTGTTGTTTCTGCTATTAGTTTTTGGCTCATCATATCTTTTTGTATGTCTTCTATTGCAGGCTAAAGGTTGCGCTCATATGGTTTTGTTGTCTGCTGCCGACAATTGTTCTTTGCTTTGGGTGATTGTGCTTCTTATTTTTCTAATGTCAAGCTTGTTGGTTGCAAGTGTTATTTGCCTCTGTCGTGGCATGTTCTTATACCATTGGGCTTTCTTAATTTGATCTTACAGCTTGTGGTTGCATTGCTGGTGATGGTTCCTATTGGGTTTTTTTAATATTATGGTCGTTGTTTCTTTTGTGCCAGTATTTTATATTTTAGTGATTTT